ACTATTCGTAACATGCACCAAAGAACGCGCGTTTGGCTCATTCGTCGTTCCCATTCGGTATCTCTGATTCGAGAACGACGCGCGTTGCCATTGACCGCGTACATTAAACCGCGATAAGGAGAAAAGAAAGAGAAACACGTCGACGATCCGACTGCCGCGGCAGTCGGAAATCCAGAGTTGTTAAAACAAAAGAGAGTGAAACCGTCGCGAGGACGCGAATACAGGTTTCACGAAACCGAACGAAATATATATATATATATATATATGTATATCGTGAAACTGTCGTTTCGAGTTTAAAGAGGCACGTGAGACGCCTGCTGCGTCGGCGAATCGTCGCGAACGAGTAGACTCGATGCACACGGGAAACGAAAATGCAACGCGAAGACATGCACTGGAAGTATTTCTTCGGATATCTCTATATCCGTGTTATCAACGGCAAATAATTGGTACTCGAACTCGAAATTGAAGCTGAACGCGCGTAGGAGACGCGACTGTTCGTATCGCGGTGTGATCTATCCAAGGATTCTCGTCCGTGCATTTTTGCTGAATACGATTTCCCGGAATAACCGAACGAGACGGACATATACGGTAAGCGAAACGAGTGTTTTGGAAAATTCGAAGGGTGCAGAGAGCGCGCACGAAAGCAATGTAACCCGAAATATCGTGGTCGTGGTCGACTTGGACGACGACGAGAGATTGCTCGGGGGTGGAATCATTGTCCTCGCGAGTCGTTAAACCAGCCAAATCGTCTAGAGTCGCGCGCGTTTAATCGTATCGTTATCGTTGGCAAACCGTCGCGATAGATAACATTGCTGCTGCAGACGCGTTCTTTCGTATTCTTGTACGCGGGCAGAGACGTGTAAATACGAATGTACAACGCTACCAAGAAAGGAGACGCGTTACCGCGCAGAGATGGAAGGGCGTGCGCACTCAGCCACTCGGAGAGGCGATAATCGCTTTGTTGGTTTGCCGTACGAGCAGGTCCGAGCGTGCTTTCAAACGTCGCTGCATCAATCGACTCTCGCTGGGCGGCGACAATCCGAACAGCCGATGCAGCGAAGATTCTTTGCCGATCAGACGATTCTTGCCGATGGTTTTCGGGTCGGACAGATCGATGCTCGAACGGACCGAGCAACAGTCTTGAGGCGCGTTGTTCCCTTCGAACTCGCCGGAAGAATGAGTCGCGCACAGTTTGCTGTGTTCGGACAACTCGCTGCTCGAATCGGACATGTGCCCGTAAGGATGATTATCCTCGTCGGTCGACGAAGTCGATAATCTCGGCTCTCTGTTCTCCGTCAGTTCCTCTAGATTTACGGAGAAGTGTTGAAGTACCACACGATTCACAGCCATTGCCGATTCGGCAAAAGTCGATAGTTCCCTCGCTGAATTATTCCTCCTGCAAATAAATAGGCTTGCTAGAATATTTCTTCTTCTATTCGGATGACGCGCGTGTAGCGAAGACACGGGTGGGTCTCTCCTACGAACCTGATAATGTGAGGAGTGGTGAGAGATTTCTCGGTGTTCTCGACCGAGGTAGGGCCGGGATTGATCCACGGATGTTTCAGAATGGATTCGGCGCTCAACCTTTGGTGGGCTTTCTTGACGAGTAGGCCTCTGATCAGATCTTTCGCGTCTTCGGAAATGCATCTCCATTCGCTGTCCGGGAATTCGTACCTGCCCTCCTGAATACTGGTGAAGAGCATCTCCTGGCAAGCTTGACAATTCTCTCCTCTCTCCCAGCCGCAGTCGGTACCGCAATTCCCGTAGAACGGCGGGTATCCGCACAGAAGGATGTACATGATCACCCCGAGACTCCAAAGATCGCAACGTTTGTCGTAATAATTGGCTTCGCCGATGAAAGCTTCGACGACCTCCGGAGCCATGAAATCGGCACTTCCCACCGGTGTCAGAAGCTGTGGCGTGGCCACAGGACTGGACAGCGAGTTGTTGAACTTGATACCCGAACCGAGATCAAAGTCGCAGACTTTGATCGGTGTCAGCTGGTCCGGGTACACGCATAATATGTTTTCCGGCTTCAGGTCCCTATGAGCGATTCCTGGAGGAAACAAACAGAATTTCTCTGTCGACTCGGTTGCATTTTTTATTTCGCGCGTTACCCACCTTTCTTGTGAAGGAAGTTTAACGCGCTGGCTATCTCCTTGACTATTTGACTCGCTTCTCGTTCACTGAAATGAATCCTTTCTTGAATGCGGCTCAACAATTGACCTCCGTTAACTTTCTCGAATACGAGATAAAATTTCTCTTCGTCCTCGAAGAATTCGATCATTTGAATAATATTTGGATGTCCCTGGCAATGGTGGAAGGTTTCGACCTCTTTAAATACGCGTGTACGCGCGTGACCCGGTATTTTGTCGATTATCTTCACGGCGTACTCGAGATCCGTGTACAGAGACCTGCAAGTCTGTACCGAGGCGTAAGCACCCTCTCCGAGAACTTCACCGGTCAACTTGTACAGTTCTGAAAGATGGAAACGTTTATAATTAGCGTTTAGATTTCGAGAAACTACTAGTTTTCAATGTTCGATTTCCAATTGAGATTTCTCGTTTAAATACACCGCACCGCGCGCGGATATGCGTCAGCGATCTTGATTCGTCGACGCTATCGAGGTAAGCGAAGCATCGACCAACCGAGTTGCGTTTGCTCGGTGTAACGCAGTCAATGCTAAGGTCACGCACAAGTAATGCTTGGAAATCTTGTCCGTTGGTTCGCGCCTCGCATTCTGTCGATTCGATTCGATTCGATTCGATTCGATTCGATTCGATTCGATTCCATTCGATTCCATTCGATTTCAGTTCGGTAGAGTAGGATTCGATTCGGTTCGTTCGCCAGAGAACGCTGCAACTATTGCGCCGCCGCACCGTTGCCATCAACCCTACTACTCTTCCTCTCTCTCTCTCTCTCTCTCTCTTTTCGCGTTCCCGAACCCGTATATCTATCTACCGCTGATCCGACCAACCGCCTCTCTTTCCGAGGACTGTTTCCTCTCTCGCCACACGAGGCGAGACCGAGCAGATACGATTCTGCTTGGCAACACCGGCGAACGCTCGACAATCGAAACCAGACAAACGCGAGAGCGCTTCTACTTGGTCGTCGCGGCGATAGTCGCAATAGTCTGTGTATCGCGGAACGTAAAATTGGCACGGGATTAATTCGGGAGCGGCGACGACGTCGGAAAATGACGCCGTCTGTCGCGCAATTACTATATTTAAACTAAAATGTCGTTGTCGCGAGGACCGCGAGGACCGCGAGGAGAGTCCGAGTTCCTGGAGAATGCGGAATACATCGCGAATCGCGAATCGCGAATCGGCAATCGCGAATCGGCAATCGCGCGCGAGGCAGGGATTTCTATTTAAATGTTATTTCCGAGAAACATTGAACCGTTTTACGTTGACGAGAAAAGACAATAATCGGTCGAGTTGGCGCGACTCGAAAGTCGTGTGGCCGCGCCAACTCGGAAATTCATCGACTCGACGAAATACGAAGTTTGCGTTACGCGAGTTGCCGGGCGCCGACGGAATATCGTACGTTATCCGGCGAGTCCTTCGATGTACGCGACGACTATTTATACGTTTATCTAGAAGCATTCGATTCGATTCGATTCGATCCGGGGTGTCTATCCAATCGACGAGGTATCCCGTGGCCTAGATTTCAAGGTATACGGATACTCGATTTGCCGCGAGAGTACACAGCAGTGGAAACTTCTCGAACGCGAAACTCCTTTACAAATCGATCCCGGTACGGTGACGTAACCGTGAGGCAGTGAACTCGATCGGCGCGGTGGTTTACCGGTAAACGAGTGGGAAGCGCGTCTTTCGAGCCAATCGCTCGCATACCAGCACGTGTTTCTCGATCGTTTCCACCTAACCGAGGCCCAATCGATTTCGTTCCATTTCGAATACGGTCTCTTCGCAGCGGCGCGCATCCGAGTTTCTAGAACGTTCTGAACTTGTACAAGGTCAGATCCAAGAGCGAAACGCGAGTCATCGAGGCACGGATGACACACGGAGTAGTTGGATGCGCGCGCTGACCATACGCAACGCCGGCTCTAGCCTTTCTGAACAACGAACGAAACGCGACAGGATTCTCGGGTATCTTTATCGAAAGATGCTTTAAGAAAGATACCGGCGACGCGTTACCTTGGAAACAGGAAGACATCAAAGAGGATCCAGAACGCTTCTTCTTGCGTCTTTTGCGCCTGGCTTCTTCTTGTCGAGCGTGCACGGCGCTCATGGATTCCCCAGATGTATTCACGGTATCTCTGCTGATGCAGCTCGGATCTTCTGAAACAACCGTCGAATAGGATTAATCTACGTCTCGAAGGATCGTTCGATGCTCGTACACGAGGAATCTCGATCGACCGTTCGGTGTCCGAACAAGAAGAACGAAGAGGAAGAAAAACGCGAATCGTCCTTTCGATCGACAACGCGCGGACGTTAGTCATCGGTGATTGCCGGTCCAAGTTGCTTTCGCGCTTATCGATAATATTCACCTTATCGTTCGCGGATAACGCATCGCGCGCGCTCGATTCCTTTCTCCGAAGCGCGATCTACCGCGCGTGCTCGTTCGGTGGCCGTCGCGCGCTTTCGATCGTCGATCGAATTTTCCATTTCGATTTCGATTTCTCGGTTTACGGTTTCTATCGTTCCTTCCATTATTCCTATCGGTACGCTCCTAACCGAGACCCGAACGTGAATTGTCCGGCGTCGTCGTAGCCGTCTTAGCCGTCTTAGCCGTCTTAGCCGTTAACGTTACCGTTCTTTCGAATCGGTTGCATTTAAAATTAGATGCTTTTATCGTTCAGCCACTAGAGACGTCCTTATTACGCAACACGGTATCGTACGTTCGTTCGGTTCTTGTGTCGTTAGAATCGATTCTTGTTCGTTTTATTCGGCCGAAAGCAAAAACGTGTGCGCGCAGAAGCGATCATTCGAGTCTAACGAATCGGACGAGTTTCAAGAATAGAACAATTCGAACAGCGCTCGTAACGAACTTTCGGCCGACGCGAGCCGGCTTCCAGCGGCGTGTACAAAATTTCTATACTCGTATATTTCCATGCGATTCGATCCGATCCGATCCGATTCGATTCGATTCGATTCGATTATTTGGATACGGCGTTCGGCTGACTCGGCACCTTACCGGCGATGCGTCGCCAGATCGGCAGCGAGGAACGCAGACCCGGCTGCGATCGCGAGAGTTCAATGACTGGCACGGAAAAGGAACGCCGCCATCTTACGCGAGATACGCGTGTACGATAATGTCGCTGCATCCGCAAAAGCCGGTGTAACCGCCGACAAGCGGCAGTTCGGAGGCAGTGCTTTCGTTGGCCATCGATCCCGATTTCGATTCCTTTTCCGCGCCCAACCAACAATTCGGAGTTGCTTGTTCTTCCGCGTTCGGGATGCTCGGTATACTCTAGTATAGTGTATCAACGATCGTACCACCGTAAGACGATTCGCATTTGCGACGCAACGATATTTCCACCGATATTTCGCGTGTTCCGCTTACATAACTCTACAGTTGGGTAGAAAATGTGCTGCGAGAGCGCGCGGAACCCTTTGTCCTTGAAAATAAACCCTTCCCTTTAACGGAGGGGGCAACGGATCTACGGCGCGCAAGGACCCTTTCCTTTCCTTTCCTTTCCCTTCCCTTCCCTTCCCTTCCCTTCCCTTCCCTTCCCTTCCCTTCGCGCCTGGCGACGCTCACCTCGGCGATCCCCATCGCATCAGCCGCTCTTCCCATCGGTCGATCCCTTGCCGCCGCGCCACCCCAGTCCGCTCAACGTTCGTTCTTTGTTGGATTGCCCTTACCGTCGAACTCGAACGCGGTCCGACTAACCCAGTTTGACCCTCGAAAAATAACGAAAATAACGAGGCATCGCGGCAGCGCATCGCGGAGGAGAACGAACGTTGGAAAATATCGTTTCTCGGGGAACGAGTCCTTTCGACTCGGAAACCGGTGTCAACGTCGAGGAAAGTAGCCGTTGGAACGCGAGCAAACGAGAATCGTCGACGCCAATTTCTCAAATGTTTCTCGAGAACGCAGTCGCGCGACTGCTCCGTTTGTTCGTACTCGGAGAAAAATCTGTTCGAAGAAATGCGACTCGACTCGTTTCGATAGAAATAAAATCTCGCTTTGCCGTTATCGATCGTCGCGCTTTTTGGAGCGAACGCGGAATAACCGATCGATCCAATTTTCCTCGTGTTGCGGTGAATTGTCGAGTAAATCGTCGAGCAGTGCGATCGAGCGCAATTGCGAAGGAAACGATAGGGCAAACGGGTTAATCGACGCAATTCCACGTAGCCAAGTATGCGCGTACACCGAAACGACTGCACCCGAGGCGTGCACGGAGGCTTCGGCAACCGACAGGACGGTTGTCGAGTAGTACCGACTTCGAGAAAGTTCTTTCGTCGAGCGACTTTGAACGGAACGTTCTCGCAGCAGGTTTTTCCATCTCTTTGGACGTTTCGGTCGGTCGTTCGTTCGTTCGTTCGTTCGTTCGTTCGTTCGTTCGTTCGTTCGTTCGACGAGGCGACGCAACGCGAGGCGACATTTTTTCCTACCATCCACGCGTCGATTCTCCATCGATACGTAAATAAGCACTTACATAAGTAAGCGTACGCGTCGACGATACGCGCGACGAGCTTACTTATCGATACGTACGGCTAGAAAAGGATGAGCGCGACGAAATCGTCGCGAAAGTCGAAATAAAAAAGGTTCGACTGGTTTCGAGAATCGTGCCGGTACGCGAGAACGAGATTCGAGCGGTCGAGCGAAACGAATCGGAGGCTCGATTTCGAAATAAAAAGAAAACATCTTCCTACCTCTTGCAACCTCCGCACATCCGTCCTCTCTCTCCTCCAAAATTTTTTCCACCATTTTTGCCCGCAACAATCGCACGGTGCAATGTCCAGAGAGTTCCAAATTTCTCTTCTCCCGCGACTCCTTTATCTTCTATATCTTCTATATCTTCTTTATCGTCGAACAACGATGGAACGTTCCCTTAACTCGGTATCAATAATTGTAAAAAAGAGTCAGTCGTATATACAAAAACATCTATATACACTAAGAGATACTGATATAAATCTTCGTTCCAGGCGAGCACTCGGTTCGGCGATCGCTTCTGCACACGCACACGCAACACACACGCCTCTCTCCGTTCGATGATAAGGCGTGTTTCTCTCTGTTCGTATCTGCCCTCCTCCTCTTTCCTGTATTCTTCTCTCTGTTCCTCTCTGTTCCTCTCTGTTCCTCTCTGTTCCTCTCTATTATTCGTCTGCTCTCGAATATGCCTATTTCTCCGCGGGTTTACGGTTCCCTCGAATATTCGGTGCCTCTCCTCCTACCGACGCGTACTCTCCCGGGATAGATCGATGTATATCAGTGTCGGTATCACAGATATAAATAAATATATAAAGGCTATCTACTCTTCTCCGGCCTGTTCGCTCCGACGGTTTCTTCGAACGACAGAAGACGCTGTTGTGTAGTCGATGATACGCGCGCGCGCGCGCGTCGTGTAGCTCGTATGATTCGAATAAATACTATCACAGACTTTGACACTGCACACTTTTCTCGTTGCCGTTGCTTTTCCTTCGCACGCAGCTTTCCTTTCCGCTTCGCTCCGCTCCGTGTCGTTCCGTTCCGTTCCGTTCCAACCAGCTCGGCGGTGGTCCTGGTCTCGTTGGTGTTGGCGCGCGCCCCGACCACACGGTGTATCAACCGATCAACTTCTCTTCCGACTACCTTCGATCCGATTGCGTTCCTCCACAGTGGGCGAATCTCTGATCGGAAAAAGTGAATTTCCCGATTCGTCGACAGCCGACAAACCTCGCCTACGTCCGCTCCTCCTTCGATTCCTCTCCTCTCCTCGGAGTTTGTTCGCCGGTTAAACCGGGCCTTCTTCTCCGTTCGCGAAAATCTCGCGACGCTGCTCGGTGCTCCGTTGTACTCGCGGGTAGCGGTATCCGGGCTCGGAAGCGCATTAAAAATCCTTCGACTAACGCATCGGTTCTCTTCGTTTACCTTCCCTTACTGCTCGGCAGTTGGTTTCCGACTGAATCTCGCAAGATGGTCGTTCCGCTTACCAACATCCCCACCGACGGTTTCCGTGCTGCGCGGCTCGTAGACGATTCCCCCGGCCGACGGTGTTTAGAGCTCCGCTCTCGCCCCTCCGATCCCCACTCGCGCCAACACACTCGCCACCTCGTGCGCCCGTTTCGTCCCGTTCGGCCGCTTCCACGTAGGATCAGCCGACTTTGTCGACGCCCTCTGACAACGCGGTAAGTAGGTACTCTACCAGCCTCCCTACCTCCCGTCCACCCGTCACGTAGCCCGCGGTCAGAGGCTCTCCGAGCGGGGAGACTGTGCTGGCCGTGTTCGATGCCCGATGCCCGATGCCCGATGCCCGATACTCGATATTCGATATTCGACGGTCGACCAATTATATGACGCAACCTTCGTCCGTCTTGCAAACTCTTCTCTACCGGCGAAATCTATCGATCGATTCGTCGCGATTTCTATCCCGGCGAAGAATCGCGTTCAAGCAGCTACATAGAATAGATCGGTTGCCCCTTTCTCAGAGTTTGCTTCGCGATTCTTCCAATTCCGCGAGCAGAAGCTCGAGGAGCCGTTCCAGAAGCGCGTGAGAGTCACTGGCAGCGTTCCGGTAAGTTGGAATTAGCTCTCCGATAAAAGCGCCATCTTCGGGGCGTACGTTAGTTCGTACGCGGTAGTTTGTCCAGATTTTCGGAAAAATTTCAAAGAACGCGCGTTTGCCGACTCGGTCCGCTGCTCTGATACTAGAGATGTTTACATCTGCTAGCATTTATATCCCGTTCGAGGAGCACCGAGTCGGATAAATATACGGGAAATGACGCCGGCAGTTGTGCCGTGCGTTGTTTTCGGAATAGATGCGCGCGCACAATGGCCACCGGCCACGTACAACATCACGCGACGCAGAAGACGGATCGAGCCGGGAGAACGAGTCGGTGTGCGTGTGGCGTGTCGCGCACGCGGCGACACACGGACGCCACGGCGAATGAACAGGAGAAACGAACACGCCGAGAGGAACGAAGAGGAAAGAATATCGCGCGGCGATTTAGCTTCTGTGCTCGCCTCGGCGACACACACGCTTAGGTACATAATATATTTCTGACTTACGCGTGCATGCATACGCTCGGGCACGCGGATCCCCGAGAGAAAGAGCCTGAAACGTAATTCTCGCGCTACGCGCAGACTCGCGTCGGCCATCGAGGCTTGTTTTCAACCGTCCGACATCGCGTGAACTTGTTGCCCGCATAATCGCTACGGTATTGCGTCGTAAGTTTATTAGCCGTATTATTATTACGTAAGGCGGGACTCGGTCGATTGTTTACCTACATATGCGTGCCTCCGGCGTGATGTCCCTGTTCCGCTACGCGTGCTTTCATCGAATCTTCTCGATACCCGTCTCTGCCCGTCTCCCTGTACGCGTGCATGCATAGCCGTGCATAGCTACGATGGTAACGCGAGCGAGACGGCGCAACGAATCGATCGTAGACCGCTGCACACGGATGACAGTTTAGGTTCGTTCGGTGTTTTTCTCCAACTACCGATTCTCGAGGGCTCGGACGATTCTTTTCCAATGGGAAATGCACGCGTACTCGAGCGTACTCGAGCCTACTCGAGCCTACTCGAGCGTACGATCGTAATCGTAAACGCGCGCATAATTTATAGGATGCCCGTTATTGTTATCGAGATTGCATCATCGGTGCGATAATCGAACGGGCGGCCACTGCACCTAACAATGTTCGCGTTCTGCGAGAAGCAAGGTATCGCGTTATCGCATCAGATGTCACTGAAACTTCACCGGTTTCGCAATCGAGGAAAGAGAGTAAGCGGTATCTTGTTTTCTCGCGAAATCGGTCCCCGTAATTTCATCAAAATGCGTCCTGATACGACTTTGTTATTGCCGCGATAGTTGCCGCGATAGTTGCCGCGATAGTCAACAATTCTAAGGACAACGCTCGTTGGAAGAAAACAACAAGCGCAAACCGGTTTTTACGCGCGGCGCGGCGCTGGATGATCGGTCGATCACGGAATCGTGACGGTCGAACCAACACCCACTCGCGATAGCTACCGATTCGCGTAACTTTCTTCCACTTTCGAGGCATTCCTTCCCGTTTGGTTCGTACAGTTTCTGGTGTCTATGAATTCGGCCGATGCATCTCCTTCTCTGGAACTCAACTTGAAAAATAGAACAATCGAGAATAGACTCAACCGTCGTGACCCACCGTCGGACGGTTAAACGAAGGGGTGCGTATATGCCCGCAATCGTTTAGGGTATACCTGCGCATTGGGCCCCGTCTGCCGAGAAAGCAGGTGTCCAAGGGAAAAGATGGAGGGGAACGCGCAACAAGGGCTTACGGTCTTGTTCTATGTTCGGGATCCGAGCTTATCTAAAATCGTCTAATCGCATAATCGCATAATCGCGCAATCGTCGAAAACGCGGCGCAATAACGTTTATCTCTTTCCTATAGTACAGATTTTTCCAACAATTTCGACAAAGGCGATATCGCGGGAATCGTTGAAGATTAGAAGAATGCTCCCTAGGAACGTCAACAGGAAAAGCGTCCTAGTCCTCGTCTACCTTATTTCTCGATGCAACCCCAACGCATCCGTAGACCCTTTACGAGCATCGACCTAACCAGCCCTCGAGAGTCAAGAATATTAACGTAAACGAAACACTTGATTACTCCATTTCGTTACTGTCTTGTAATCTTCAGGAGTTAGCTAGAATTACGTTGGTTTTCGGTTGCCTGAAAACGTGGAAACGTGGAAACGTGGAAACGTAGAAACGGTGACTCGTCGAACCGTGATATCGGCCGACTCGATCTCCCCGCTCCACGAGTCGTTAAAGACGCGTGTTTCTTATCACGGAAAAGAAAAGGAGTGTACGCGAGTCACCGAGCATACCGGTCAACTGTACGCGCGACAAACAAAAATGAGGATCGAAAACGATTTGAACTTTGGAATACGATGGCGAGGTGGAACGAGAAGAAGCGATACGTTCGAAACGGAGTCTGCGTACGAAATTGACTGGCGATTATCGTATCAACAGTTATACGTCCGCGTAGCTAGAATAATCCTACTCGAAAATTGAATGGACGCGTGTAGAGTATAGCTGGGTATGCATGTACGTGTGCACGTATACGCGTGTAGCGCAGAAATTCACGCTATACACGACGCCGCACGTGGCTGCACGGTTCAAGATCAAATAGTACGACGCGCAAAAGTTTCTCCTTGCTCAAGGTCTTCCGAGCGATGGCCAGCTTCGGTCGTTTCTTTTATCGCGCGCGAGAATTCCGCGGGAATTCCGCGAGAATTCCGCGAGAATTCCGCGAGAATTTCGCGAGAATTTCGCGAGAATGTCGCGAGAGGCCTTGGATCCTGCGCGGTTTTCTTCCGATTAGACCGATATTAGAAAGACGTTTCTGCTCCGAATGTTCTAAACCCGTCCGAAGGATGCCGGTTGTCGGACGGGGCGGTGTGTGTGTACGCGACGGTGCGCGACGCATCTTTTTCTTTCTATTCCATCTCGCGTCTGGTTCTATTTAAATCGAGCATGCTCATAAATGCAATGTGCCCCGCAATTACGAGCCCGAATGTGTCACCGACTGTTTCCGAGCTGCATCTGCCGCAACTGTGCGTCCTATTATTCGTTTCGAAGCCTCGGACTAATGATAGAACGAGTGATCGTACAAGCTATTGGAACGAGGCGGCGCGAACAATGTTTACATCGTAATTTGCGGAGCGAAACGAACGTTATCGGTCTGTATCGTAACAGTAAATATGTGCGGTATTCGAGTGTCGCGTGTATTCCGGTATCGAACGAGAAACGTGACACCACGTGCTTCTAAACGCTCGTGTAAGTACACGGTCGTTCCGCGAAAGAGAGAAGGATTCGTTTGATAAGCGAGCGTCGCCGCTTGTCGCCGCTCGTCGCCGCCTCGCGCCGCCTCGCGCCGCCTCGCGCCGCCTCGCGCCTCGCGCCTCGCCGAATCGCCCAACGGTCGAATGACGCGAGCGGACACCCCGAGCAGCCGTACACTCGAAAACATTATTCTCGAGGTTGTTTTCAGCGTTCGTCGTTCGCCGCGTTCCTCGTCGCAGCACTCGTTCTTTCCGGGATGACGGAGAGATAAGCCGTGGCTCCGCTCGCGATCGAAACGAATCGCGCGAGTACCAACGAGCAAATTGCTCGGGGTCATCGACCGACGTGCACCGACCTCTCCAGAATTTGTCCACCATGCGCTTATTTCTGGATGCCGTTAAGAGTATTTTCCCGGGCGAGAAGTGGGTGCGCCAATGAATGCATCGCGCGCATGCGTTCCGCATCAAGGACAAGATTTAGCTTTTCAGTTTTCAGAAGAAATCGAAAGGGAAGCGCTACGGAGGTTTTCGGTGACGCGTAATCGGCGGACGGTGGCTCCGTTTCGACAACCATGTTTCTTTCTCGTTTTCCCTTTGCTCGTCTTTCCAACGATCGTGTCGGGGAAACAGCGGGCCAATCGTTCGAGAAATCGTACCTATATAGCTATATGTACCTATTTATAAGTTTTCTCGTTGAACCGGGTGCAATGGAGCTTTCGAATTAGCAAGCGGACGCCTTCGAACTCGCGCACTTCCATAGCTGCGAATTACATTTTCGGCACTAACGTGCTACCAGTTTGCTGGTTTATTCGTAACGAGGATTACGAGAGCTACACCGTGCGATGCCGTGTATGCGAATAACGCGCGGAAGAGTCGTATTCTTTTTCTTCCGTGTCTCGAACAGATGTCGAAAAGATGTCGAAAGGAAACCGTCTCTCCGGTCGGTCGCGGTAAATTTCTCATAGGGTCGACGAGTCGTCGTAAAATCGTTGGAAAGGGAAACGTGGCGCGGACATCGTCTCCAGCTTTCCGAAATGTTCAAGTAGCTTTCGTTTTCGACGAGCGCCCGTGTAATTGCTCGCGTCGTAAAACTTGTCCATTCGCGCTTGTAAGAAATAGTACGGGGCGCTAAGGAGATTTAAGCGAAGGAATCGTATTTACGGTAACGTATATTTCGCACTGTTACGTAGAAAGCCGATTGGCGTGTTTTGCGTACCGAGGCGATTACGATCGCGATCGCAAGAATGCCGTTAAGATGCCGCGGGACTGATGCGGGACTGATCCGAGACTGATTTACGACTGCCCTAGATCCACGAAGCGCCTACGATTCGCCCTTTTTTCCATGGGAATTGTCACTGCTCCGATGCGAAACGGAGCTACGCGTTCGAGTATACTGCAACTCGCGGCCATCGGAAAAACCGAGTATTCCTGGCGAAACAAACACGGTACACCGGCGCCTCTGTAACGGAGGATTCGTCGTCGCAGCCGAGAGGAGCACGGTCGAGAAACGTTTTCGAGCACAGACGCGGGGGGACCGATCGGGCCAGAAAAAGAAGAGCCAATGAACTTGTGTGACCCGGAAGGAAGGATGGCGCGCGTCCTATCATTTCTGACGCTTGGAATCCTTGGACGTAGCCGTGTCCCACCGAAGACGCGCTGGAAAGAAAGGAAAAATAAACCCTCGCGTTTGCGCGAACAAGTTACCACATAAATTAGTTATCGGTTGCGTTCGAACGCGTCATCGGCGCTTCGTTGCTATCGCTGTATCGGATTTCTTATCGACGAGATCGCACAGGTAATCCATCGTTCCATTTCGAGTCGCGCGTACACTCCGAGTACCGTTACTCGTTCGTCATCCGTTCGTCATCCGTTCGTCATCCGTTCGTCACCCGTTAGGAGTAGAAAGTGTGTCTGCGCGAATATGTCGATTCGCTGGTCCGGATACGAGCAAGGACACCATCGAAACGATCCGACCGCGTCGTAACGCGTAGATCGTTTGCACTCGCTTTCAGCGCGACCGATATCGGAGATACATCCCTGTTTCCGGTGGATCTCGGTTCGCGCGCGATTCTTCGTTCACGGCTGCTACGGTGAATCTGTTACATGTACATAGGCATTGCGCGCGGTTTACGTATATTTAAAGGGGCGTCGGCGTGTCGTAAAAATTGCAATCGCCTCGCAACCACCGAAGATAGAATCCGATCGAGCCAAGTCGCGGCGGTAGCGAACATGGAATCGCTTTCGAGCGATTCGCGTTCGGCGAGAACGGGAGCTAACGCGAAAGATATTTATAACGATATGTTAGGCGCGGGATGCATGCCAGACGTATAACAAGCGATTTGGACCCGTTTCGCGGACGAAAACGACCATTTCACGCGCCTTGTTGGAAAGTTATTCGAGGAAACGGAAAAACTCTCTTCTATTTGCGCCGCGAGTTTCGTAACCGCGGCACGCGTTTCATCGCGTATCGATATCGATTCGATATTACCGGATTACCGACTCGATTCGCTATCCTATCGTTTCCGTTTTGCCCCGATGCGTCTATTCGCGTTATTCGCGATGTAGAGCGTAAAACTTCTCCCGAGATATTCTCATTGAAAGCTCGAAGAGTCGATGACACTCGGCGGTGCTCGGAGACGCTCGGTGACGCTCGATCAACGTGTACGTATTCCATAGCCGCGTATACGTGCATTACATATGTATGTATCCTCGCGTAGGCAGGTAGGTATACGTGCATACCCACGTACCCGGTACGCGATCGAACGATATCGACCGCTCTCTCAACGGTATTTTTCGTCAATTCGATTCGGCCTATTTGTTTGTTTTGTTCGGTCCTACGGTTATCGGAACCGCGCGTAATCTCTTCTACGAGCAAACACGAGCGATCGGCGAAGGTAGTCCGTTGAAACTACTACCCTCCCGTATCCTCGTAGACGTACCCTCGGAGCACTCGATCCAGAAATAAACTTGTCGCTAGCGAGAGACGTTTGTTTCCTCGAGTTTTCCTCAGGTTTTACCGATTCGGGAGCAACGCTCGACGCGACGATATCGATACCAGCGTCGTTGTTTCTATCCGATCTATTCTAGAACTATTCGACGATGACCGCAAGCGTATTCGCGTATCTATTTCCGGACGTAGTTCCGGTAGATCGGCTGCTCGGTCCTGTCGCGGGTAAACAAAGACGTTGATCACCGTTTCGCGCGGCGCGGCGCGGCGCGGCGGCGGCGAAAGGCCTCGGCGAGCGCGCAAAAGCGCGGCGTAACGAGGTTAACCAAGTAAAACGTGCCAGCGAGGAACGAACGATATCTCGATGCGGCGCGGCGCTATTCGTCGCAGGAAATTTGAAACATTTCAGACAACTAACGACGTTAGAAAACACCGACGAGCAACCGTTCGCAGTTTGTAGACGTACGCGCGCGTTAGGCGTGTGCGCGCCTATCGTACGAAGGTGGGGCGATTACGCGTGGTTTACTGGCGCAGCCGAGGTGCGCCGCCTAAGCGTATAATAACTTTGTATACACGACCAGAGGAAGACGATTTACGCGCGTTAGAAACGAGTTTGCGAAACCGTTTGGTAAACGTGCCAGCTCGTTATTTTCTCCGGTTTCTTTTCTATTTACCGATCTGTTCGCGCAGTTGCGACGCTTCCTTTCGAACCACTCGAATTTACGTATCCTCCGACTCGCGCTATTAGCGTAACTACTAATCGGCTTGCAGTCGGACCGATGTAGTTTGCGTCATCTCGGTTTCCACGATTCGAGTAGAGTTTGCGCGCCCATGAGATTGCATCAGCTCGTTTCGGAACGGGATAAACCTATGAAAACTGTGCCGATGATCGCGAAATCGCGAATCGTCGGCCAGTCCACCTCGACAACGCGGCTTTATCTTGGCAATTTTCACTCGTATCGAGGGCAACGACCCGATACGACCGATTTCTGCTCCGAAACATCGCCTCCATTGTTCGCGGAAATACTACACGTTCGGATTCTACCGGAGATTCCGAAGTTTCGTTCGTTCCGACTCGACAGAGTGTTCCCGCGACCGCGCGAAACGAGCGTGCTGTTTTCGTCGCAAGGTTCTGGAGAACGTCTCGAGACGAGCGTACGATTCGTTCGAACTTGGAAGCCTCCCTCCACCGTTGGCTGTTGATCGGCGAACGGCGAACGGCGAACGGCGAACGGCGAACGGCGAACAGCGGGAGACCTACGGCTACTCGCTTGTCTGCGCCTCTGGATACGAATATACACGGACGTCTATGATCGGTTCTTTGAAAGATGGCTCGCGAACGGAACGCGGCTCCGAGTGCTCGGAATCGAGCGTGTTTTCGGCTCCGATCCGCGATTGCTCGAAACCGCCACACGCGCGCACCGATTCCGTCGCGTCGCCAACGCACACACCGGAAGACCCCTCTTGCCTCTGCGCCGTCCGCCCCGATCCGAACCGGCTTTCGAACAACGGACGATAGCTTTCGCGTAGGGTCAACGTATATACGCGCGTACGTACGTACGTACATACATACACGCTTACAAGTGGCTACAGTTACGACACGCGTGCCCGACGGATCGTTTCGCGCTGCTTCGAACCGCGACAAAATTGATAATCCAGCCTCTTCCTCGGGCCTCGATGGAGGAATGCTTTCGCCCGATTCAGCAATTCTATGCAATTACATTCGTGTACGAGACACTCGAGAACTACACGCGTGTATTTTCGGGTCCAATTCGATTTGGTAATGTTTCACGCGGAATCATTTGGCTCGATCGTACACCGGCGATCCGAATGCGATCGTTGCGTTTACTTTTATCGGTAGCTGCCAACAGAGTTGACGGTATTCCGACCAACCGCAACCTTTCCTCGATTGACGCATCGCGCGCGACACCGTCACGCAACTTGCTCTCTTCCATTATTGCCGCGAAAACGTTCTTTTCTCTTCCGATCGCCGGAATAACCGCTCTAATAGCGACCGTCCTTTCGATACGCGTGTCCGACTCCTCGCCCAGTCGCCTAACGCGATGGTTTCCATCCTCGTTTCCTCGACACTGCTTTTTCCCGTCCGAAAGGATGGCAAACTCGGAGCCCTAACGACTCTTGGAAATGCTTCGCTTCCGTCGATACAGGCTGCGCGATACTTGCGTGTTTCTGAAAAAAAGGAACAATTCGGTATTTCGAAAAGTACAGACGCGTCGATCGCGTGGGATCATTCGACGAGGAAACTTTCGCTTTCGAGAAAAACACGATCCAGGCTTCTTTTTACGTTCTAACGTTGCAAGGAAATCGTGCACACCCACCAAATAAATCACACGAGGTCTGCGCGGAGCTGGCGCACGCGCGCCGCGTCATCGTCGATCGAGTCGAACTCGACGACCTCGATATACGCGTTAATCGTGTGTAGGTATACTTACGTATCTACATACATTGTTGACAACTGCTTTTACGCTTTTTTCCCCGAACCGGAGAACTACTTCGATCGTAACGAGCCTATACGCCGCGCAGCTCCGACCAAACCCTATCGAATCCACGGGCATTCGCGATTCGTCTCATTTTCTTCGAAGCAAACCGTGTGGTCTGCCGGCCGAGAGCGGTTCGTTGTTCGATCGTACGAACCTGCACGTAAACGGCGAGAACGCAACGCCATCTTTGTCAAGTTTCCCGACAACGGTATCCAAATACGATGGCGTGTACCATCCAATGATAATTCTCGAAATGTTCCCGAGCAAATAATTCCACACGGAATTTCGTAAATTTCTTTCGTCCATCGAGAATCACGCGATACGCTGGCAAGAATGTGCGCATCTTTGAGCGAATTTTCGCTGCGTCGACCTAGTCGCGTAGCACAGAGGTTAACTGTTCGAGAAGCATTAAAAACAAAACTATCGAGAGTAAAGGGACGGTGTACGTGCCGAAGCTCAGGTATTCAGCCCTGACCGATTTTCGTGGAATTCCACATCGACCGACGTGGAATTTACCACGCACTTACATCTAACACCTTTCTCACCCGACCACGGTCTTCCTCCCTTCCGTTTTCAGCCCTTTCGAGAAACGAATTTCGACTCGCCAATTATATTTCCTTTCTTCTATTTTTTCGTTGATTTCAATTATGTAACGACATCGACCGAGTATAGATGGTTCGTTGCCTGCTACGCAAGCTATTTACGAGTAGGCGTTTAGTCCATTCGAGAATACGAATAGTCGCTCGAACATGTACAATCATCGATTTTCTTCAATGTCATGGCAATTTTTTCGATAGATTCGTCGCGTTAATAAATCGAAATGAAATCGTCCCAACCTCTCAATTATTTCTATTGCTCGATGTAGGTAGTTTTATATTGTGTTTACGTGCGCACACAAGGTCGATCCACGTGCGTGCGTGCGTGCGTATGCTCGTGCGTATATAAATAAATACATTTCTTACATCTTGTAAACGATAGAGTTATAAATAATCCGTCAACAGTACTTTATCGATAGTCTCGATGTTATCGATTCCAATCTCTTCCAACGTCACGCGTATGTTTTCTTTGTAACTCGTATACAAACATCGAGTACAGGTTATGTAGGCGTGGATAATCGACAGTTTAATATATGTATTATAAAATTATCATTCCTCGATGTCGATGTCGATGTGAAAATGCAGAGCTACTGTACGCCAAGAATGTTCGCACATTGGAATCCGACTGGTTGCCGAATCTGTCACCGATAAAATAGATATGCATGATTCGTTTAGTGTCGTTTAGCCGTTAATAGGTTAGGTGTGGAGACGTTTTTGTAAAACATCATTTTTGTTAAGTAATTTTCGCGCTCGCATCATGCATATCACGAGAATTGGAATTTTCTTGTCACGTTTACGTACACGCGAAATGTTGTGCACTTCGAAATTATGTTATTCTCAAGAAGCAGTTGTAGATAAGAAAGTTTTAGCGTTGCGATCAAAACTATTGTATTCCGACTACTTGGATCTCGAAAATGTGAAAAATCCATATGCCGTGAGAAAAGTAATACAGACGAAGGAATTAATGCGCCAGAAATATTCGAGAGTTAAAACTTCTTTCGAAGATCCTATTTCCAGCGTATTATTAACGAAGGCGATTCGAAATGAAGGCGAGAGCAACGCTAATGAGAGAATAGAAGAAAAAGAGGAGACATGCGCGTATATGCCGCATACCAGAATAGACTCTTATAAAACTGTTGACACTTTAACGGAAACTATAGAGGACGACGAACCATCGAATTCGTTGAATCAAAAGTGGAAAGATGTATACGACAAATATTTGAATCGTATGGCTTCGTTCGACAAGAATGGCAAATTGGATTTCAACGACATAGAGGAGGAGAAATCTGATAAATCGTTGCCAAACGGAGAGTTGTGGAAGGTACCGTCAACTTGGATGACAGACTTTGCTCAATTCGACGATACCTTAATGGACAGTGAAATGCACAAAAGATACGGAACACCGAATCCATCGACCAAACCCAGTTCTGTTCCTTGCGGAGGATGCGGAGCCCTATTGCATTGCCGGGATCCCGAGATCCCTGGATATTTACCGTCAGAATTGTTTTTGAACGGTAGCAAGAAAACTTTGAAACTTACGGTTTGTCAGAGGTGCCACTTCTTAAATATTTATAACGCCGCCTTGCACGTAAAGGTATCGATACACGATTATCCGAGACTGTTGAGCGTTATAAAGAGGAAGAAATGCGCGGTGATCTTGATGATTGACTTGACAGATTTTCCTTGCAGTATATGGCCCGATCTAAAAAGCGTCTTGCATCCTTTTACACCTATCTTTCTAGTCGGAAATAAAGTCGACTTACTTCCTAGGGACAGCCAAGACTTTTTTGAGAATACTAAACAGCAGTTATTGAATAGCGTGATCAACGCAACTGGTATAAAGAAGGAACAGGTAACGCACGTTGCGCTCGCGTCTGCGAAAACTGGTTACGGTATAGAGAGTCTGATAAATAAGTTGCAATATATATGGCGGCACAAAGGTACGTTGTCGATGTTCTTTTCAGATTTTCGTTGATTCGAATCCGCAATGATTGGAAGTACATGAAATTTTAGGAGACGTTTACTTGATTGGATGCACAAATGTTGGCAAAAGTACGATGTTTAATACGCTTTTAAAGTCGGATTATTGTAAAGTACAAGCTACGGATCTGATACAACGCGCTACCATATCAGCTTGGCCAGGAACGACGTTGAATTTATTGAAATTCCCTATTTTGAATCCAGTACCGAATAAAGTATGGTTACGCGTGAAACGGCTTCTAGCGGAGCAAAAGCAGGCACATTTAGAAACGAAATACAATATTTCCAAGTATCGGGAAACGAGGAATATGAAGTACGTGACGTTAAAAGGTAAGGGGAATTTCCTATTCTGTCTAATGTATAAGATGGGTGAATGTTTGGAATGTCACGCGAATACTTGTTCGCAGAGAATGTCGGTAGAACGTTCCGCGATTTCGCGCTACAATTGGACGCGCTGGATCCTTTTTCGGAAAGAGCGAACAAACTTATGGAACGGGAGTTGAGTTTCGACGAGACGAAACCAGAGTACGCGCAGAGTCGTTGGTGTTACGACACACCGGGTACCATTCAGTCGGATCAAATACTAGATCTGCTGACAATCGAAGAGCTGGCGTTGACTTTATCCGAACACATAATAACGCCGAGAACGTTCATGCTCAGGCAGGGAGATACCGTATTCGTAGCCGGCATGGGAAGATTGGATTTGATATTTGCAGATATTTACGTTCGGTGAATCGATCGTTATTTCTTACTATGCCCCGTTGCGTCGACGCGATGCCTGACGTTTGTCTTTTTCTTTTCCATTTCCTTTTCTTTTGGAAAACAGGTGTACGCTGTTCACGAGTAGAAATCTACCTATAACGATATGTTACACGAAGGATGCCGACGAGGTTTACGAAGAATTGCTGACAACCAAAGCTTTCGCGGTACCTATCAACGATCCCAAACGATTGGAGGTGTGGCCTAAATTAGAGGGGAAGGAACTGAAAGTGACCGGAATCGACAGAAACGAATCCGTAGCCGACGTTATATTGTCGAGTATAGGTAATTTCTTTCGAGTAGATACCCCTCTACGAAGGTTCACATTTAAACTCGTCGTTTCGTTTCGTTTCGTTTCGTTTCGTTTCGTTTCGACTCGATTCAGGTTGGATCGCAATCACGCCTCACGAGAACGAAAATGTTACGTTGAAGGCGTGGACGCCACAGGCTCGAGGTATACATCTAAGGAGCCCGGCACTGCTGAAGAAATCGGTAGCCTTTCGCGGCACGAAGATTTCTGGGACACCTTTGTATCATTTAGGACGGAAACTGTACATAAAAACAGATTAGTAATGGTAAACCGTCTATTTCGGAAGTTGTTCGCAGCCTTTCAAAGGGAAAATCTAATCGATACTCGAGTATTTTCAATTTGACCGATTTATTAAAATTCTCTTTTGGAGTAAAGTTTCACACGTCGATATCACCCCTTTGACGAACCCGATCGAACAAACGTTACCAACGAACGAGACGATTTTACAGAGGTTGTTATTCCCGACTGTGAAATCGGTCTGTTTCGCGTGCGCATCGATCTCTCGAGGATACTCTACGAGAAGAAGCCTTAACCTTAGGTTTCCGATTGTTCGGCGCCGCTTTACCGCTCGCAATTGTAGTCGTGATCGCGATGGTGTTTACAGGCGAAGTAACACTGGTACGTCGAACAAATTGGGCAGTCGTCTTTGACGCGATCGTTGTCGCGAGTAACAGCGGAGATTGCTCGGTGGCCTCTCGACGGTGGAGCATCGTGAACGTCGCGCAACGATGCGTAACGTTCTCGCGTTGCTCGGCAACAGTGACCGACTACTCGTGGCTGTTGGTTCGGGCCGCGGACTGGCAGGAGGTCCGATCGCGTGCACCGGCATCTCGGACTGAAAAGGTTTTCGAGGATCAGAGATTCGCGCGATACGGGGACGCGAGACCGATCTATACTCACGCCTCGGAGATCTCGGTTCGCGGCTGCTTCCGATTATGGCAGACTCTTCTTTGTCTGATGACGGTTCTCGCGGGTCCTCTTCTCTGAGCGGGCGGCATACGCTGAAACGATCGCGAAACAGTTCGCTCGACCAATTCCAGGAATATTCTACCGATATGCGAATCGTCGCGAATGCGTTACCTCGTGGTCGATCGTTTTCGAATCGGCGTTGCGAGTCTCGTCCGACCAGCAGCCGAGAACTTCCTCTATCACGGTTCTCGTCGAGATTTCGATCTTGGGCGCTATAATACCCTAAAGTGTCATCCCCACCGTATCGGTATACGGTGCGATCGATTAGCGGTGGAAATCGAATTGAAAGAGGCGAGAAACACGCGGAACTTACGAAACGGAGAAAAACGGAGAAAAACGGAGAAAAACGGAGAAAAACGGAGAAAAACGGAACGAGTCTCGATAATCCGAGGGGCAACAGGGAGAGAAGCGAAGAAAGAGCAAAGAGAAAGAAAAGGAGGGACCAGAGAGAGATCGTCGAGACTCGTTCGTTCGTACTAACGGGAAACGGTTTCATCGGATCCATGAGCAGGTCCACGTCTACACCGGGTGGTAAACGTTTACAGCGGGACACCGGGTACAGCAGATCCGCCAGATCGGTTTCGAAGGTGGCTAACACGACGACTCGGTTGCACGGACCAAGCCATTGGATCAATTCCGCGCGAACGATTTCTCGCTCGAAATGCTGCTGCAGCTCTGTCAAAGCAGCCAGCCGTGTGAAAGTTTTCTCAAAGTGAAACTCGTTGTGAAATAATAGTGGAAAAATCGGAGATACTCTGTGGGATTCTAGGGTGGAGCCGAGGCTGGTTATCCGCAGCGCCACTTTACCGCTAGGGCACAGCCATACCCCGGGACACGTAATCTGAAACAGTTCATCGAATTTCCATCGAATTTCCATCGAATTTCCATCGAATTTCCTGCGCGATTCGGTACGTACGGCGTGCAGGTCCAGTCGCACCCTTACGAGGAAACCTTTTCCCGCCATCGTGACGACGGACAGTGCTGTGCGGTCGGGTCAACACCGATCCTGGGACGGTGTCATGCCAGTTTTGAGGGCTCGTTCGCGCGCGTCGACTGTGCCGGGAATCGCGAACCCGTTCGAGCTATGTCGGCGAATCGACGAAACGATGCTCTCCAACCTTTCCAGGACGATCCGGACGGAAACGCGAACCAAACGCCGAGGCGTGCTCCGAGAATCGTAGCCTCTCGAACAGGAACTGGCGCGCGCGCGCGCGCTCGCGCGTTCGTTGCCAGGGAACGGTGAACGCACAACATCGATATTGAATTTTCCGTGGGATCGAGTCTTTCCCTCTCGTCGTAGCGTCTAAATAGCCTCGAATACGGCTAAACTCTGAACGGTATTCCGGTGAACCTCTCGATCGGCAGTCCCCGGTGAACGAAACGAATCTCGAGTTCGGTGGCAATGAAATCCGTCCGTGTTCTGGGGAACCGCAACCTCGGATCGTTGCTCGGTGGTAGCAAGGGGTCCGCGAACCAGCCGTACCGGTGATTCAGCGTCGGTGGCCCGGACGGGTAAAGATCTTTCGGCAGCAGGACGTCGCGCTTCCTAACCAGATCGACGTATTCCCGACGAACCTCGGACGGCAGAAGCGCGTCGTGTTTCGCGTAAAACTTGCCGGTCGGTGGCTGCGCGCGGCCGACAGCCACGAACTTTTCTACCAGTGTCGAATGCTTGTTCTCCTTCTCGTATCTCTCCGCGTAGAATCGCAACTTTGCGGGATTCATCGCGTCGCGGAGACGAACGGCAATTACCACGATAATTTCACCAACGGAGCTCGTTCGCGAAACACGCGAACGTCGAG